TTTCTAGACTAAATTGAAATAAATTAGACAGTTAATAAATTATTTATTTAATTTAGCCAAAATTTTCATTCCAAATTAGATTTAGAGGTTTAAACTAATGTAATTCTTAGAAAATTATCTTTAAAGCATGTTAAAAAAAAAAAAACAACTTAGGAAGTAAAAGGAAAAAAATTTAGTTTTTTTCTCTTAGTATTTAAAGTTAAATGTCTCTAAATTAGTTTTTATATATCTTAAAATTAATCCCTCAAATGAGTGATTTTTTTAAGAATACACCCTCCATATCAATCTATTATTATACCTAAATACTTACTTATTAATATATGCAACTTTTGAAGTTATAAAAAAAAAAAGAAAAAAGAATCAGTTCTGTATTTCTGCCAGTCCACAAATGGTCTGGATTTTAGCCCAAATCTAATTGGACTTAAACACTGAGTGAAGGTACACATCTAGTTATCTATGATGCTGCTTCAAATCCCTTATCTCAAAAATTTGTACTTGTTCAGGAAAAGGCGATGCTGGTATGCTGCAGCCTAAAACCCATGAATAAATGGTGGCAGCAGTGTCTTAGCGCTTAGGCTTAGGATGTTTTGTGTTGAACTATTGGGCCAAAATGGGTTGGTTTTCTTTTCTGTTCTTTACATAAAAAAGAGAAAAAGAAAAAAAAGGGGTTGGGTTTGGTGAATAGATGCAGAGCTAGGCTTCCCCTTTCTTTTCGTTATTTCTTCACACTTCTATCCATTTTAGGTTGATGACCAAAAACCACAGTACTAGGACGGGGACCAAATGATAAGGCACCTCCCCTTGTCCTGTGGATGGGGGATGGTTACCTGGGTTTGAGCATGGATGTCAACCTCCCTTGTTTCATTTGATTAAAGTTTAATTTAAAATTAAAAAAAATTATTTTTTTAAATATTAATATATAAATTTTAAGTAAAATTATATGTTTTAAATTAAAATTTTAATTTAAAAATATATATTAATAATTAATAAATTAAATAAATAAAATGACGTTTTTAAAAGTTGGATCCAAACCTGAAGGAAGAGATATCAAATCCGCAATCTAATGACGACATCGACATATTGGAATTCAAATGGGAAGAAAAGACAAAAAAACTAAGTTGATTTGGATGTCAAAAATTGAAAAGTAATCTCAATAATACTCAACGTCGTAGGCATTCATTAATTGGTGAAAGAAACTTCAAAATTAAGCAAAGTTAGACATGAGCATGACATTTTTCTATTGAATACAAATTGCTTGAAAATGGTGGACACGGTCAAGCACTCTTTCTTCCATACATTTTCCTTTCCAAAACAGATAAGATCCACCTCCTAAGAAAAACCATGACACAAGCATTTTCTCCCCCAACCCATCTCTTATTGCTTCTATCCTTTCTATTTTTCGTCCCTAAATTCTGGTACAAGAATGTATTAACGGAAGATTCTGGAGAGACGTGCCCAAACGAATGCACAATGACATGACCAAATAGGAGTAATAGCAGGTATGGCAAAAACATAAATTTTTAAACCAAAAAAGAGGCCAGAAAAATTAATTCACTAATTTTCTTTTTTTCTTCAATTATTCTTGAAAGGTCAAATATATAAATTATTCTATCAAAATTGTTATGTTGAAGCAAATTAGTATCTAAAAATAATGTTAACATGATTTGCTATTTAAAATTTTTATTTTCAAAAGATCAACTTAAATTTAACAATTGCAGTTAAATTTTCTTAAATTATTATTTTTAAATTTTAATAAAAAATTAATAGTAATTATTAAATTTAAATCAATTTCTTTAAAAAAAAATTTAAGGCAACAAATTATGTTAACATTTTTCTGAATAAAAATTTATTCCAACGTAA